TTAGTTTTGATGCAAAAACGCATGATCGCACCGGCTCGCCTGGTGCGTTCCAGCCTTTGTTTGATCCTAACACAAGATCGGTGCACTACTGATTTTCACCTTTACAGTAGGAATGAAAATACACTGACTGGCGGCCAACATCGAGGCAGTTAACTTATAGGGTTCCATAGTTTCTTTGCTGTCTTCTAACAATTTATAATTTTTTGTTTGGTCTGTTCACTGTGATTTTATCAACTTTCATTACGTCGAAAAAAACCGAGAATTTCTAAAAACAACAATATTATTTGTGAAAATTTCGAACGAAAGAAAGAGTAAAAAGTAAAATAAAATAAAATTCTTTTTAAATTGATAAGTGTCTAATTACTGTGCACAAGGTTTTCCCATAGTTTGGTTATATTGCCTAGCCTATTGGTTCGGAGTCTTTAGCGCCACTAAGACGCGATCATACGCATAGTGCAAGCAACGTCCCCTAAGCACAAAAGTTTATCCAGTGTGTTCGCTTCTAAGCTTTCCTAAAAATTTTTATAAAGGCCAAGAAAGATGTAACCTTTGGAAGCGCCAGCGAAAACGGTTCGAACATTGCCAACGTCAAATTCTTCACCAGCAAATTTGCTTAATGTTCGGAATTGCTCCGACTCGTCATTTTCGTAATTTGCCACCATTTTGGTCATAGTCGGAGCGACGCTTATTGAGAACTTCGGTAACTAGCTTACTGGATTGAAAATTCGGCAATGTTGTGACAAGACAACACACAAAAACGAAATTCGGCTTTTTTCTGAAAACTGCTAAAAACTGTCTTAAGAGAATATGTTTTTTTTTTAAAACTGACTTGTCGAAATAAAAATTTCAGTGATACTTCCACTTAGTATGATAATGGATCGTCTCGTTAGGAAGCATACTTCAGCACGTGGTATAAAAACCTAATTAGTAACAGCAAATTTTTCATGCAATGTCAAAGCAAAGGGCCTCATAAAGCCTAACAAATCTGCGCCGAAAAGGCACTCTGTCTTCTGAATTAAGCTTAAAAAAAGACCGCTCTATAGAAAAACATGGTTAACGACGAAAACAGAAAAGCAAGTGCTGTCTGTGGCGGAACAATGGAAGGAAGGGAGCTTGGAATGTCCTTTCGTACCACATAAATAATCAAAATTTCAACCATATGAATGGCATGCTGGATTTAATTACCTTCAGTAAGAAAATAAAATCTGACCGGTACGATATTTTTTCTTCCTTACTGACAACCAATGAAGTTGCTTACCAGTGAATGCTATCCGCAAAAAAATAGATGGTTTCTGAGGTGGCATTTGAAGAAATGGCGCACATAACTGAACAATCAGTGGCTGAAGGTATACTGGCTGAAGTTGTGCAATAAACAGTCTGGTATAGTTGCGCGCGGCGTATGGTTATCGAACACACAATGGATTTACAGTTCTGATTTTAGGGCTTTTTTTCGAACTTTCATTAAGCCTTTTACAATACTTGTTTTTCTGTGACAAAAAGTGGTCCCTCGTTTCCTTTTGTACCAGTGCTGAACGCTGTATAATCATTAGTGACGACTCCTTTCTGTTGAGGTTACTTTCTCATCACGTCTAGCTTAGGAGGATGGGAAATATCCTTCTCTCCTTCGCCAAGAACTGATTTCGCTGTAGTATCGCGAGGCATAAGATGACGATAGTGCTATCGTAAAGACACGGTCTTGCTCAAATTGCAGTAACGGGGCTTAAAAAATTACATTCTGTAGAAGGGAGACTGCACAACGAAGCATGGCCATCGCAGAACTCGACATTTCAGGTGTAAATAAAATGAAAATAAACCGGACAAGCTATTATCTGTTATTTGGTTGGCTGGTTTTTACAGACAAATGCACAGAGTGCGTTTTCCGCTTCAGTTGATGGCAACTATTTACCGTCAGCCATACAAACAAACAAACTTTTTAAAAGAATTCAAGCTAAAAGTGCTTGGTAAAAGATACCGTCAATGACGCGGTCGCTCATGAAATGATTCACGAAGGATATGCCTATTCTACTTGCATTTATCCTTCAACTGTTTTGTCACACTCTCACGCGCCCAGCTTTACCGCCCGCATGAAGCATTTGCGAACTGCTGCAGTCGCCTTTATTCATATATTTACTTTTTCCTCGCGCGCCGCTTTACTCTGCTCAAATGTATCGCATAGTCAAATTTGATGAAGAACGATTACGGCTACTTAAATGAATAACACCATCGCAATCATTTGCACTTTCTGTTATGATGCGATGTTCCCCTCGTTTTGGGTTAGTTTTTGCCGAGACAAAAATGAATTTTCTGTTTTAAAATGAATTTTTTCAGTGCACACTCCAAAA